CTAATTGAAGAATTTTATGCGGTATTTTGTCATGACCGTCCTTTTTGTTGGTTTTAATGTTCTTAAGGATATCTTGCACTTCAGCATTTCCAACCTTTATAAATTCAAACTTTGGACCATTAACCACTCTCTTGTTCTCTCGTATTTGTTGAACAGTTTTGTGATTGTACCATTGTTCTTCGGTGAGAGTAAGCACATGAGAATCACCTATTCCATTTGCGACATTCAAGAAGTGATTAGCAAAATGGTTAGCCACCATTGTCTGGTCTTTTGTGATGCTTCCATCGCTGTCCAGTATTGTTGTATTCTTGTCATTAACATTTGTTTTGTCATCCAGGAACGGCTTGAAGACCTTATAAAAATTCCTTTGGATTATTATTCATATCATTTGTTTTATTTTTCCAAAATTGCTTGAGTGCTCTTTTYCTCAGTCGTGTTGCCGTATTCCTCCAGCTTTTCTTTAGTTGTAAGTTTTCTACTGTCGGATTCTTCGAGAGTCTTTTAGATAACTTTCTTTTATTTCTGATGGCGTTTTTTCATTTTTGCATCATATATGGAACGTCCCTAGATCTTATCAGTACCAGTACTTCCTTTTGATAAGACAGGAACTGTTATATTTTATCTCAAAATAACTGAATCAATGATTTAGAGGACTGAATCTGATGCGGTCAGTTACAGGAAGCCAGTGCAATTAGATTAGGACAGGAGAAATGTCATCATATTTATGAGTGTATGTAATCAGGCGAGCAGCGGCATTTTTTACAGATTGGAGTTTACAGATGAGATGACTGGGAAGACCAAAAAGAAGACAAATATGTTGGTCAATCTTGGATGTGACGAAAGCATGAATTAGGGTTTCAGCAGTTTTAGCAGACAGGAACDTTCTAATTTTAGCAATGTTGCGGAGATGGTAGAACGCAGACTTACAAACAGAATTAACATGAGGAACCATAGATAACGTAGAGTCGAAGATGACAGCAATGTTCCTAGCTGATTCAGAGGGTTTAATCCTGTCGTCTCGAAAAAGCAAGTTTGGAAGAGATTTTTGTGGAATGTGTTTGGGGTATATTAAGAGGAATTCAGTTTTATCTTTGTTTAGTTTAAGTTTATTTATCGTCATCCATTGATCAATGTCAAGATGAGAATATGTGGACCGCATGGCACTAATGAAATACATGAAGATATAGAAATATAGATAAGTTATAGTGCTTGGGAACGAGGTTATTCYGGGCGACAGCGACATCTTTGCATCATAATTACCGCTACCTAACATCTAATTCATCCCGGCCTGCTCTCAGTCTGACCTCTAGCTCAGCTGGTAGAGCATCGGTAGTACAATTCCGAAGGTCGTGGGTTCGATTCCCAGCGAGGTCGGAAATTAATTTTTCCGAATTTAATTCCAAAGCTGTTGCCCGGAATAACCTCGTTCCCAAGCACTATAACTTATCTATATTTCTATATCTTATTGATCAATGTCAGTTAAGCAGTTCTCGATCTTAGTCATTGTTCGATTCATTGTTCAGCATCATCATTGCACGTAAAATGTATGTAGAGTTGAGTATCATCAGCATACAGATGGTAAGACATGCTATGATTACATAGAGTATCAGCCACAGGAGAGGTATAAAGAAGATACAGAATTGGACCAAGTACTGAACCTGAGGAACACCACAATCCAAGTCAACCGAACCAGACGAGCCACCATCTAAGGAGACATACTGAGAACGGTCAGATAGATAAGACTCAAACCACTTGAGTACATTACCACAGATACCAAATTTAGACTTAAGTCGTTTTAACAAGATACCATGGTTAACAGTGTCAAAGGCAGCAGACAGATCAAGGAGAAGAAGTACAACGCAATTTCGATTGTCAATGGCGTGTAGAATATCATTTTGAAGACGAACAAGAGCAGGTTCACAGCTATGGAGACATTTGTAGGCAGATTGGAAGGGTTCATGGAGATCATTTATTGTCAAGTAGGTGTTAAGTTGTGTAGCGACAATCTTTTCAGTCATCTTGGACACAGCTTTTAGATTTGAGATAGGACAATAATTTGCGAGAACTTCGTGATTAAGGGATGATTTCTTGAGAAGTGGTTTTATAACAGCAACTTTTAATGAAGGAGGAACAACCATTTTCAAGAGAGGAGTTAATAATCTTGCAGATGACAGGCAGTAAGGTACCATAATGACCAATTAAAAGACTTGAAGGAAGAGGATCTAAACAGCAGGATTTCGATGACAGCTTCTTTGSGATTAGTTGTAATTCATCACAGGTAGTTGGTTTGAAGGAATCTAAGCTACAGTTAAGTGTGGAATGGTCAATTTCAGAAAAACGATTTAGTTCAGAACCAAGAGAAGGCAGTTGATTGCGTATATTGAATATCTTGTTCTTGAAAAACTGTACAAAATTATTGGCAAGGACAGTAGGTGATGAAGATGACGGCAATAGTTTTTCAGGTGATCTATGAAGAAGACAATTATTGTTATTATTGTACGGAAAAGAGCTGTACTATCAGAACCAGCAACAGAGATTTATTTGGAATAGTAGTTCATTTTAGCTTCAAAGATCATATATTTTATGACATTACACTGCTTAACATATATTTCCCGATCATTGGTGAGATGGGAACGACGCCAACGTCATTCTAGGTTGCGAAGTTTTGTTTTATTTTCTTTGATTTCATTAGTATACCAAGGTGCCCTAGGACGTTGAGAGATAAGTTTTGATCGTAGAGGAGCATGTTTGTCAAAGAGTGTAGATAAAACAGAGTCATATTGATCACAGAAATTAGTTAAATCAGTCGCAGGAGATTTAACTAATGGAGAATTCACAAGCTGAGAAAGAAACAAGTCTATCAAATGTATATCCACGGAGCGAAGTTTTCTGTATGATACGACTTAAGTAGATAACTGATTTGAATACAGAGAGCTTGCAGTGAACAGCATAATGATCTGATATGACAGGGTCATGTATTTGGATATATTTTACAGACACTTCATCAGAACGAGTTATGATAACATCAAGAACATGCTTGCTTTTATGGGTTGGCGTTGTATTATTAAGAACAGATAAATTGAAACAGTCTAACACATCAAAAAATCGCTTAGCATTACTATCTGTCGGATTTTCAATGTGAAAATTGAAGTCACCAGTGATAAGTAATTTACCAGGCAAGGTAATTATATGTTCCAGTAAAGTGGTAAGTTCAGTAAAAAGACGTAATTTAAACCATTGTTAGTTGAAAGCAAGTACTTGAACGAACAATTGTCTCCATGTATTCAAAGGACTTGAAAGATGAGGTCTTTAGGATTTCATTTTTAGAGTGTTTCTTAACAAGATACCAATACCACCACCAGTTCGGTTAAGACGAGGTTCATGTGAGAGCAGATAGCCAGCAGGACAAATGTCACGAGTAATATAGTAACAATTATAATCATTAGACTTTAAGCAAGTTTCAGTAATTGCCAAAATATCAATGTCTCTATCAATAACATAGTCTTTAATTTGAAGAGATTTGTTATTAATAGATCTTGCATTCAGAAGACAAAAATTAAGTAAGTTACTAGCTTGTGTTGCCGGCGGTTTGCTAACTAGTAAGTTGGCAGGTGACCATTGATAATTATTGACAGACTTTTTACCACCACGTTTGCTTCTGAGGCGAAAAATACCAAGCATTTTGAGTGTAGTAGAAAAATAGGAGGGAGAATGATGCAGTGATTTGTGGCGTAGATTAAACAGCTCAGAACAATTATAAGCAGTCTTAGCCAAGCAGGGAATTTGAGTTTCTTGAAGTATGACAGGATGAGATCTGTCAAGCGGAAAATCGAGGTCATGTACATGTATTGTTCAACACAGGTCCAATGGATACAATGTGAATCATCTTAGAAACATAAAAAAAGTAAAAAATAAGAGTACTATTCTAAGCTAAGTCATTATAAGGTCATTCACTAATCACTTACTTTGGTGTACGTAGGTAGAATTGCTAATTGAAGGGTAGAATTGATTCGAAATGTTGGAAATGCCTAGTAGGCGTCGAGTAGCAAACTTAATACTTATTATCAAACTCATTAATAATTTAGGAGGAAAACACAAACGAAATCACGACCGTGAAGAGTGTTGTAAATCTGATACAAAACTGTTCATTTGCATAAACTTGAAGTTGGATTTTCTTGGCCAAATTCACTTTAAGTTTGACAAATTTTAGTGAAACACAAAGGAACTAACCTAGACGTTTGATAAGTCATATACAGTATTCGTGTCCGTGTTGTATCAGATATACAATCACTCGGCTACGCCTCGTGGTTGTATATCTGATATGAATACTGTATATATTACTAAGAACACGTGTTATTGACTTTGATTGACTAAAGGGATCGAGTTACTTAATGATTAATGGATTGGTAAAAGGTTAACTAAAGTTAACAGGCTATGCATGGATTCTGGCGTAAAACCATCTGCTGGTTTGGAGGCATCAGCTGGCCTGGAATCAACTGCTGGTTGGAGCTTGAGTTAAGTGCAGATTACAAGACATTGCTGCATAGTTGTAGCTTTTGTGACGATGGCCGTGCGTTGTAACTAGGGAGGGAATTTTCATTCCTATTTCCAGATAAGGACATAATATGTCGGTTGGACAGGCCAGCATTGGACGACAGTGTGATAGCAGTGGCTCTCACACAGTGGTTAGTGTAGATTAGTGTTTGCGGCTCTGCTGAGGTCTTTCATCATCTCTCCGAGCTTGGTTACACCAAGGCATCATCGCTCAAACCAAACTTTCTCTTGTTCACCATTCCAAAAACGCTTCGGGAACTGAAAAAATGCTTCACATTCGGGATTTAATTTCTCCACATACAGGCAGAGAGCATGATATCCATCGTTTGGACGGTCGGTTTGGTAGATTCTTCAAAGCTTTTCAAAGCTTGCAGATCTGTCATCTAGCCCTCCCTGTCGTGTTTTTGTCTCAGGAAGAAACGCAAAACTGGACTTTTTTTATTTCTCTGCCCCTCTCGACCACGGCGACAGAAGTACAGCGTAATATGGAACCATACGTTGAATAGTAGGCCCTGAGGGATGTTGTTGGACTTATAGCTTGGCTTTCTTTTAGACGGCGAAGGTCTTCTGGCTCAATGGCAGGTTTGTGTTGAACATTTGACTCGCCTTTCTTTTTCATGCTTTTAAGTTTAGCATCGAGGATTTGGTTTGACTGCTTGAAGGCAGGATCAGTGGCAAGTGATCAGTATGAAAACTTTTTTTATGGGGTGGGTTGTTGAGAAGCGCTCTATGCCATTCCTGAATATGTATAGTTTTCTCCGTCCTTATTTCTAGTTTCAGCGTAGAAACTTTTTAGGTTGTAGTTGAGCTCCTCTTTGCTCATGTTTGCTATTTCTTCTTCAATTCCTTTTGAGGAAGCCCATTCTGAATTAAGAGTATAAACAAATTGCACGATTATTCGCTGAAAAGTTTTTTTTGTAAATATTTGATTTGCACGTGTGAATTCACAGCAAGTCACCCACTGCGTAACATGTTAATCAAAATTGCAAATTTTGTGACATTCTCCATAAAATWGCCAGTTTTATCAATTAAAAAACATGAAAAACGTTATTCTGAATGAAACCAATACCTTTAAATACCGGTACAGCGTATGCTGTGGCATATTTTGTTGATTTTGCTTGGCTTTCATCAACTAGGTTGTCAAGGTCTTTCTCACTGTAAACGGCGAAGCGTGATGTTTTTGGCTATAATAATAATAATAACAACTTTATTTAATGAGGGTAGCACTAAATAGTGTACTACACTAATAAACTTTTGGATATTGTTTTTGGATTTCTTCCTTTACATTTCCGGTTTTCACCTCGTTCACTCTTTCGACCAAGTGGAGYGAGTCAATTGCAGGGCGACCCAGTAGAGGTTCTTTGAGGCCGTCGATCACATAGACTTCAGTCGTCGCCGATTTCCCATCCATTGTTGTGACCTGTGTTTTTACTACTCCTCTAACAGAGAGCGGTGAATGTCCTGGGCCAAATAACTTGCGGTTAGATCTACTAAGTGGTTTCAATCGTGCATTGTTGTAAACTCTCTCGGGTATGACGGTGACGTCAGCTCCAGTATCGAGTTTAAATGTCACGTCCGTGTCTCCGATGGAGAGTTTCACGTGCCATTTCGAGTCGGTGTTCTCTTGTGATCGTACTTCTCCAAGAAATTTTCCGGTTTTGCTATCACTGCTATCACTATCGCTGTCTTGTTCAACGGCACTGACACTATTTGCTTTGCAAACAGAAGCATAATGTCCGATCTTCTGACAGTGATAACATTTGTGTGATAAGGCAGAACAATCTTGGCGCTGGTGCGGCGGTGATCTCCCACAGCGATAACAGGATTTATCAGAGCTCTTAGGTTTTGGTTGGGGATTTCCTTGCGTGCTTGAGTGTTCCACATTCGATCGACGGTATGAGTTTTGCTTTTTGTTATGAATAGTAGCCACTCTCACATCTGTAGACTCCCTGGCTTTAATCGTTTGTTGTTTGTTGTAGTCGCTCAGATCGTGTAGAATCAAGATGTTTATTTCAAGCCACTGTTATAACTACTCAAGTACAATAAGTAGTGTCTATGATTATGTAATGATAACATTGGGATCATATAACATTACGTCATATATTA